TAAACACTCCGCCCTCTGGGGCAGTGTACACAAGATAGCAGCCTCTTCATTATCTCCACCAGAAACAATCTGTCTCCACCAAAACCACCCCCGATTTACAATAAAATGGGGTAAGCAAGTCCAAGCCCCAGAGAAATCCAGGAAGAGGCATACAATTCCATCACACAAGGACTTCTTATTGGACACCAGCTCCCTCATCATGCCCAGGGGCCCTGTACCCCAGGTTTCAGCCCCAGAAGCCTCGTGTCCCATCTGGGGAGGTGTGCAGGAAGGTATGCTGAGAGTTTAAGGATTTTATGAGCTTGCTCAGCCAGACTGGGGGATGGTGTTAGAGAAATCCTCATGGAAAACTGAGACTTTACATACTCCCAGGCTACAGAACCGCAAGTATTTGAAATACCCCCACCTTTTCCTAAACTTGCTTCCATATTGGCTCCTGGAAAAAAATCGCCTCCACATGAAATACTGGTGGGCTCTGGTTTACCAGATGTAGAACTGAGAAAAACAAAGCATTATGGAGCCACCTTGAGAGCACCCTATAACCACGGGCCAGACACCAGAGGGCCAAGGCCAGGGCCAACTTCGTTTTCCTATTCCAATTAAAAATGTCCATCAGCAGTCATTTCCTTCTCTAATACCTCCTGCTCCCCCAACAGGCCAAACTCTAACAGTCCATTTTTGAGTGACCAGGCATTTGTTTATGGATGGGAACAGCGTAAAGGAAAGAGATGAGAGGTGGTGGGAAGAAATCAAGGAAATCCAGACAGGCCCAGGATGAAAGTCAAAACTGGGGAAAGAGAACTTTATGAGAGGCTAGAAATAAGGGGACGGGGTTACTTTGTAGGTGTTCAACGAGGTCAATCTGTGAGGATAAATATACGAAGGAAAACAAGAAGAGTCATGGAGTGAACAAACTAGTAAAAGAAAATATGGAAGCAGGTGGAAAATATATGGAAGAATAGCAAAGAATGTGCAGCAGAAAAAAAGAGGGCAGTGTCAAGAGACCCAAGAAGAAAAAGGGGAATGGGGGAGAAAGAAGGGGGCAGAGAATAGGAAAAAAAAACAACACACAAAAACGCAGAGAACACGACCGAGGAATGTAGAAAGCAAAGATGCTGGATAGAAAGGATTCCAGGGTGGGAGTGACTCGACGCGAACAGGGGCATCAAGAAGAGGGAACCACAGCGCTGGGAGGGAGTTCAATATGGAGGAGAGACCCTCCAAGAGGAGACCCGTCGGGCGCGGCCCACCCTAAGGCGGCAACGGGGGAGGGGGCCCACAGATGGGGGTGAAGAGCCAAGAGCGCAGTAGTGGTTGGGGAATTACGGTCCCAGGAGCAGGGGTCGCCTCATGAAGCCAAAACGGTGGGTGGGTAGGAAAAGACTGTGGACCCTGAATGAAGGGCAGGAGGTGCGGGTCCCGGGGTAGAGGTACCGGAGGGGGAGGGGCAGGCAGGCCCGGCAGCAGGAGGACAAAATGGCGGCGGCTAATGGCAGCTTCTCCT